TCAAATCGTTCCACACAATAAAAACAGAAGGAACACTGTCAAACTCTTTTTCCAAGGTTACAATTACCCTGACACCAACAACTAAGAAAGAGAATTACAGACCAATTTCCCGCATAAACATTGATGCAAGACTACTCAATAAGATACTGGCAAACTGAATCCAAGCACACGTCAGAAATATCATCCACCATGATCAAGTAGGCTTCATCCCAGAAATTTGAGGATGGTTCAACATATGAAAATCTGTCAATGTAATCCACCATATAAACAAACTGAAAAAGAAAAAAAGAACACATGATCATCTCATTAGATGCTTTAAAAAGCCTTCTACATATTCCAACACCCATTCATGAAAAAGGTCTTGGAAAGATCAGGGATAAAAGGAACATACCTAAACATAATAAGGGCAATGTACAGCAAGCCAATAGACAACATCAAACTAAATGGAGAGAAACTCAAAGCAATTTCACTAAAATTAGGAACAAGACAAGACTTGTCTCTCTCTCTCTCTCTCTCTCTCTCTCTCTCTCTCTCTCCGTATCTATTCAATATAGCATCAGAAGTTTTAGCTAGAGCAATAAGACAACAAAAGGAGATCAAGGGGATACAAATTGGAAAGAAGTTAAACTTTTGCTATTTGCTGATGATATGATCATATACATAAGTGAACCCAAAAATTCTACCATGGAACTCCTACAACTGATAAACACCTTCAGTAATGTGGAAAGACACAAGGATAACTCAAAAAAAATCAGTAATACTTCTATATGCAAATCATAAACAGGCTGAAAAAGAAAGCTGGGAAACATCACCCTTTACAATAGCCACAAACAGCATAAAATATCTTGGGGTAATTCTAACAAACAAGTGAAAGACCTGTATGACAACACCTTTAAGTCTTTGAAGAATAAAATTAAAGAAAATATCCAAAAATGGAAAGATCTCCCATACTGTTGGATAGGTAGAATTAGTATAGTAAAAATGGCAATCTTACCAAGAGCAATCTACAGATTCAATGCAATCACCATCAAAATTCCAGCACTCCAGCACAATTCTTCACAGACCTCAAAAGAATAATACCCAACTTTAAATGGAAAAACAAAAAACCCAAGATAGCCAAAACAATTCTATACAATAAAAGAACTTCAGGAGGCATCAGCATCCCTGACTTCAAGTTCTATTATAGAGCTACAATAATGAAAACAGCTTGGTATTGACATAAAAATAGACAGGTGGACCAATGGAATCAAATTAAAACCCTGATACTATCCACACACCTATGAAGACCTGATTTTTGACAAAGCGGCTAAGATTATACAATGGAAAGAAGAAAGTATCTTCATCAAATGATGCTGGCATAATTGAGAATGTAGAAGAATGTAAATAGATCTGTTGGGCCTTAAAATACTCAAGCCTGAGGCCTAGTAAGCTCAGTGTAACTTCCTGAGCCTGATTTGAGTTTAGTGACCTGTCTCTGGCCAGTGAGTTCCGTATGTGAGTGACTCAGCATAGCCTAGCTACTGCTGACATGCTGAATCCTAATTGGCCCCAATACCTCACCCCTTGCTAAGTATTTACTCTCTGACAAGCAGGGGGAGGTTTGCTCCTGTGTTTTTTCCACAGAATGAAGCATTCTAATTCTGAAAATATACCAACTCAGATTAGTTCTCTGCCTGTCAGGAACACAGAACTGTACACAATGGGGGGGGAGCTCAAATCAAAAAATGCTTTGTGTGTTCTGAAGCTCCGAGAAAGCTAAAGGGCCCCGATTGCTAGTGTGTTAGCTTCCCTGAGACAGGAATTGCTACTGACAAAGCCAGGGTCCCGAGACCTTTGGCAACACTAAGGATGGTGACTGTTCCCATCTTCTTCTCACCCCTGGGTCAGCTTTTGGCAACAAATGTGCATGGCGGGATATGAGGCATCTAGGGTCAAAACCAGTTGTCGCATTTTCTACACATGCTGTTCTGGAGACCCTCCTGCCTCTGAGAGAGCAGAAAGCAGCTATCTACTGTCACTGGAAATGGCAAATGCCCAGGTGATGCTGTGCCATGATCCCAAGTTGGGGCTGACCCAGCGTTTCAGCTCAGGTTGCAGGTGTGGTCAACCTTTTAGCAATGCAATACAAGCTTGTCATCATCAAAGATCGTGCTGGAGAACAATCAATCAAATTATTTTTTTTTTAAGTAGGAAAAAAAAAAGTCAATGTTTTAAGTAAGCTTGTGGTTTTGCGCTGGGCTGTGTTCATAGCCATCTAGGGCTGCTGTAAAGCATTCTCCATGCTCACGGCTACCTTATAACAAAGGATTATCCTGTGAAAACAATGTCTCTATGAAAATGCTCAGAACATGCCCCAACACCCCAGATCATGCAACTCCACAAGGTCACAGCTGGTGACCAGACCAGTGCTTACTGGGTGACCAGAACTCATGCTTCATCTGCCAGGTCTTCACTGGGCATTGCCTACAGCCAAGATACCATTTCCTGACTGTGGAACTCTGTGGTGGTTTGGAACAAAATGGCCCCCAAAGGAAGTGGCACTATTCAGGGGTGTGGCTTTGCTGGAGTGGGTGTGGCCTCGTTGGAGGAAGTGTATCACTGTTGGGGCAGCCTTTGAGGCTTCCTATACGCGGGGTACTACCCTGTGTGACTGTCAGTTGAGCTCCTATTGCCTTCTGGCCAAGATGTAGCCAGTATCAAATCTGCCTCCATGCCACCATGCTCCCTGTCATGATGGTGGACTGACGCTCTGAAACTGTAAGCGAGGCAAACCCCCCACCCAATTAAATGCTTTCCGTTTTCATGGTGTGTCTTCACAGCAAGAGAAACCCCAACTAAGACGGACTCGCCTTCTGGTACAGCAGGACAGAAAACTGGACACCAGTCCTGGGGTTCAGAAAAACATACCCCAAAGTTTGCCGTTCTTCCTTGCTGAGCTGAAGAGCAGCCTGGGACACCAGGTCCCTTTGAGCTTCTTGCTTCTCCCTGAAGTATAGAATGGGTCCTGTCACTGGTGTTCCCCCTCTGAAACAGCTTCTCCTACAGGAAATGCAGTTACTTTCAACTCCTTGGAACTCTTTTCCATTAGCAGGAATGATGAACACTGGGAGAGGAGGCCAAAAGTCATCACCAAACCCAGACAGGCGTTTCGTGGACTCTTCCCAGGACAGCACACTCTGGGAGATTGCCCGGCATAATAAGAGCCTGCATCTGCAGTGAGATCTGTCTTCACCTGGACCACCTACCCCACACTTATTTCCTGTCCCTGTGAGGACAGAATGTTAGATTCTGAACCTGTGGATTTTCAAACATGGATAGCTCCAGTATACATGTGTAAGACAGTAAATGAAATGTTTTTTCTTGATTAGCTGCCTTCTGTTGTTAGGCTGCCTGCCGTGACTTTTTATGACGGGAAGGGACAAGATTATCCCCCCCCCCTTTCTTGCCCCTGTGATAATTTTTTTTTTTTTTTTCTGGACTATGCTTGTAAAGACTGACTCTACAGATGACCATGTCTTAATTCTGCCACCTGTAAATATGTACTGTTTCCAAGAAAGGGAGAAGTCAAAGGTTCCATTTATTTATTCATTCACTGGTCTGAAGAGAACCTGAACTAGTCAGACTGCCTGTGTGGGCCCAGTGCAATCTCAGGGGTAACCCTCAAGATGGAAGATGAGCGGAGAGTACCTGGGAGGACAGAAGGAGTAAAGACTGTTCAGCGAGAGGCAAAGGTGCTGGCTGTGGGGGTGGGGGAGGGGCACCTAGACCGTGGAGAAAGGAAGAAGTCTCCTGTATAGCCTGCTCCTTGATCTTAGGTGAGAACTAAATACGTTGTTTGGAGCCACCAGGCTTGCAGGTCACTTGTTACATATAACCTTCACCACTTGCTAAAGGAGGTTCCCAAGGTAACTGAAGCCAAGGCTTCAATGCATACTAAACAGGTTCCCTGTAAGTTGCTGCCACTTTACTTGATTGGTTTGTTTGTTTGCTTTGGGAAAGGGACCACATACCCCAACCCCCACTCTGAAGGGCAGGTGTACCACAAGGCACAGCCCTCTGCAGCCAGGCCAGCAGAGGAGAGGCGAGGATGAGTGGGGGAGGTGGGGGTCACCTTACCTAGGAGGGGGTGGTGGCTGGAGCAACAATGCTCAGCCTGCCCTCCTCTGCTGGCCTGAGCAGGAAGCCACTTGCCCCCAGGGACTTCTCCCTATTCACCCATGCCACTTGTTTTTATTTCCTGGCCAGCTGCTGTACCTTATGTCCCAACACACTCATCCCAAGGGGGTCTCACATCTTTTGGGGGAGCTATTGGGGTTAACAGATGAGGAAGCCTCAGCCCCACCCCTGGCCAAATGTGTGAGGAACAAAGGCCCTTGTGAACAAAAACTCATCCTAGAGGGATATAAGGAATGGAAGTCTCCATTGGTGGTGGAGTCTAGGGATGTGGACTCCTTCCAGATGCCTGGGTGTAGGGAGAGCAAGGGGGCATCCATCCTTTCACTGTCCTTCCCCTGCTCCACCTCCAGCGTCTGTCTCTAATTCATTGTGCCCAAACCCAAACCCAGAGTCTTCCTCCCACCCTGTCTCCTCTCCCCACTGACTCGCACTTTTCATCCAAGAGGCCCGTTTCCCAAGCGTGGGCTCAGTACCCTCACCAGCCCTTTCTCTAACTCACAATGCCTACCCAACGGCACTCAGACCCTGGAAGGTTTATCACAAGTTGAGTGTTTTATTAGTTTATTGGTGTCAGGGTGGGTAGGGGGAGATTCATTCCCAAGTTGTTCAAGCTTACACCCAAGTGTCACCTAGGAAGGCTGGAGCCGCTGCTGTGTGTGGAGGAAAACAAGCCTGGCCCTGCCCATGCCCACACCAGACTTTAGCCTCATTTCCTCCCCAGAGAGCTCCAGATTAAACTTCCTCCTTCCTGGTAAGGCTGTTTAATGAGGCAGGGTTGGTTTATGGCAAGTCCAAGCCTGGGCAGGGCTAGGAGCAGCTGCCCTTCCAGGGAGCCGGTGACCAGCCTGTCACTCCCTCTGGACAGCTGCATCCAGAGGAGGGCAACCGCCTAGGGAAGGCCACAACCCCTCCAAGAACCAGGACGCTGCTCCATCAGTAGCCAGGCCAGGGAAGCCACTGGTTGAGCCAGGACTCAAGGGATCATCAGCTGATTCATCACTCCTTCTCCACCAAGGTAGGGAAGAATGAGCCCTGAGCCTCAGGTCCGTCTCTGCCAGGCTGGAGAGGGCTTACCTTTTGGTCCACATTTTTGACAGAATGTTAGAAGCAGGTAGGATTTGAAATGAACAATAAGCAATGCCTGGGAGAGAAAGCAAGAGGGGGACGTGACAGACTTCATCTGAGGGGGTCTAATCCAACTGACAATCGGACAAGGAGAAGGCTAGATTAGCACTCAGGGCAGTTCATGCTGTGATTGATTAGTTATGCCTGATGTGGGTACAAAGATAAGACCTCAGGTTCAAAAGCCTGGCATTTGAAAACCTGCACTGTAGATATCCTTTGGCCACAGAGAATCTCTGCATGTATTAGTTCACCCATGGGTTGATGTTTTTCAAAGAAAGAATACATTCTAGATGAGCATCAAGTTTCACAAATATTTGGATAATGAATGAGGAAGGACAGGATGTTCTCTGGCCACAAATTCCATTAATCTCTGAAAAGACTGAACTGAAATGTTATGACAAAGGTACATGGTTTTGAGGATTTTCTAGCAATGTGCTGTCAGGCTGGTCCCTCTCCCTAAGATCTGTTTCCTCGTCTGTGAAATGGGCATGAAGAGCAGAATATCCCGGTTCAATCCCTTCAGTTTTAGCTCATCAGGCATCTGTGGGAGGGACAGAAAATAGCACCAGCTGCCTGCTAAGTGTACTCCGTGTAGTATCCTCTGTGAGGCCATTTGTCGTTATTACTCCCACTCCAAAAATGGGGACAAGTCTTCATTCCTGCAGGCAGAGTGGCTGCAAAGTGTATGCCCTGGCACTAGGCTCAGTGCCCTGTGATACAGCTGATTTGGGAGTGTCCCTGCAGATGGTTCACTCACAGAATAGTAATTGAGCACTTCCTGCAGGACAGGTTAAATACACCATTGTTCTAGCCAGAAAGCAAAAAATGACTTACAGGAACGAAGGCATGTGCTGAGGCGGTGTGGACTTACAAGGTAGGAAGACAAGGAGGTAGGGGCGGGGTCACAGCGGGCAGTGCAGGCCAGAGCACAGAAGGACTGGTGGTCAAAAGTGAGATTAGGTTAAGCACAGCTGGAGGGGAGAGGTGGCTTCTCCCGGCTGCTCCATCTGCATCTGCACCTGGAACCCTGGAGCATTCTGTCGTGTGCTCATTTACACAACTCTTCCTGAGTGAGTTGTCTTGTGTGCAAATTGGCCCCAGTTGCTTGCTCTATCCAGTAGGAATCTGGAGATCTGCAGAGCTAAGAAGCCTAACCTCGCTGGCACTTAGGCATTTTCTCTGTGGTGGAAGAAATGCTAGTGTCTTGACAATATTTTCTTAGTCTGAAGCAGCTGCGCCTGCTGGGATGAGTCCAGTCTGTCTAATGGAGGATTGATATGGCTTCAAACAGACAATGGAGAGCCTACAGCAGGGCTGTTTCTCGGAGAGGATGCTGAAACTCCCAATGGCTGGTCCCAACCCTTTTGGGGGCCCTAGAAGGCAGGTGGGAAGTCTGAAGTTTCCTCCCAGGGAGCAGCCAACAGTTCCAAAGTCACAGAGAGAAGTACCTGCAGTGTCTGGACCCCACATCTGTCTTTTGTCCATCTGTGTCTCTTTGGGCCAGTTGTTTCATCTTCTGTTCTTGCGTCAGCCTCTCTGTCTCCAAAGAACAGGGTGTCCATTTTACAGTGGACTTATTGGGATTTAATCCATTTACTTATTGAGATTCATGGTCTGGTTTATTTCTTTTAAAAATAAAGATCGAGGACATTAACACATTCCTTGAGGCTTGACTGATGTAAATTTGAAAAAAACTCGATAGTGTAAAGCACTCGGCATGGTGCTGGCATGCAGCAGGGAAACACACATACTCTTGTCAACGTCCAGTGCCTACTGTGCCCTAGGCACTGTGCAATGTACCAGGCTTTTTGAAATGACAGAACGCTTTCTCAGAAAGCTCACACTCTACCAGAACAGTCATACTGAAGACTGGGAATAAAACAGGTGGTGACACTACAAGAGATGTGTTGTGTTGGTCAGCTTCCTGTCACTGTGAGAAAGCCAACTGCAAAGATGATTTATTTGTCTCATGTTTTCACTCTGTTGTCATTTGGCTGTGATGGATCAGGGCCTGTGCTATGTCAGGGCCCCATGGTGTGGAGTACTCAGAGAAACAAAGCTGCTCATTTTGTGATGGCTGGAAAGCTAAGAGAGAGAGCGTGAGCTAGAGGCTGTAGACAAAAATGTATCCTTCAAGGTCGTACCTCGATGAACAACTCTTTTCAACGAGGTTCCACCTCTTAACGTGTCCACCACTTGCAAATAGCCCATTATGCTATGAACTCAGTAGATCAACCAGTTCTAATGTTAGAACCTTTGTGGTCCAACCATCCCCATAGTTATTGGATCTGAACCTCTGAACACTTCTGCAATGGGGACCAAGCCTTTGGTACATGAGCTTTTGGAGGATATCTCACAGAAAAGCCTGAACAGATAGGTAAAGATTCTGTGTGATCAATACAAGCAATCATAAAATGACAGGTGGTTCATGTGGGGGTTTGACTCTGCATCTAGCATGGCATTAAGTACTTAAACACAACTTTGCATGCTGAGTCTTAGCCCCATTTTATAGGTGAACTGCTGACACCTGAAGAGAAAAGGCAACCCGCCAAAAGTGGAAAGGCTGGGAATGGGAGTGACAGACTTTTTGGCCAGGAAGACTTGGCAAAAGAGACTACATTCCACAAAACAAAGGGTCCCAAGCAAACAGCACTGAAGGCAGCTATGGCAAACAACACTGCAGAAGAGCAGAAGTGTGGTGGCAGGAGCTAGAGTCAACAGGCTGCATACATGAACCATGCCAAGAACTTAGATCTTCCCATAGGTATTCATCCAGCAATGGTAGCAATGGGAAAAAATGGCATCAGAAAGGAAGCTGAAGGCACAGGGAGTTGGCCTGATTCTTTTAGCCTTGTGATCAAACTTTGGAAAGGAAAAGACAGAATGGGAGTTTAACTTGAAACTTTCTTACCTATGTAAGTGGGGAAATCCTTATATTTTAGGCAGGAATCTTAGGTTTCAATGAGGAAAAAAAATAAGACTTCCATTGGCATCTGAGGATGACTGAGGTATAGCTAGGATTCTGTCTCTGTTGCTGTATTCTCTTGCAAGCTATCCTACAGAGTAACAGAGATGTCCTCAAAACAGCTAGTTCTGAGTCATATGGACTCCAAATCCCAACAAAAAGGCATCTTTTCTTTGCTGAAACAGCTTGGGAGAGCTCACATCTTGGCTTGGGTCACTTGCATATGGATGATCCCATGTCTGCAATCAGATGATGTCATTTACTCTCTTCATCAAGCCCTGGGCCATAGGGACATCCTGGAGTTATAGATTAGGATCAACTCTATCCAAATGAATAGAAGGCACAGGTCTTTTTCCAAATGATAATCAGAGTGCTCACCAGTAAAATAGAAAATGGATTCTATTAGACAGGTTCCCATGGCAACAGATGCCCACCACATCCTCACTTATACCATTCCTACCTCACTTAACTAGTTACAGAAGTAAGGGATAACAATGCTGCCTAAGCCATTCTACTTAACTGATACTGGGCTTAACCTTTCTAGATCACCATTCCCTCACCAGTAAAAATGTACTTCATAAAAAAAGAATCCTGACAAAATTGTTGGTAGAACAACTGTGCTTATTAGAATCAGTATTGTGATTATTTATTCTCTGGTCAGAGAATAAGGTCTTTATACCTTTCTAGATGAAATATATTCAAGCATATCCTCAAGAAGCGGTCATCTTGAATTGTCAGAGTTTTTAATCTGCCTCTGATAGAAGCCAAATTACCTACAAGTAAGTACATTTCCTTTATGCTTGACCTGACTGAAGTGACTCAAGTTTTCAGCAGGCCTGCTGTGTCCAGGGAATGAACCCTGATAGTCCAGGTAGCCCCACCGTAATTCAGTTGGTATTCTGATGACCCCAATCAGACTTTCAACAAAGAGAATGCTGGTGATGCAAACTGCTTACCTGAAGATGTCCAGCTCTTGAAGTTGCCCTGATTCTCTTAGCCAATTGAGAGAAAGAGAAGGACTGTGTGGGATGATGTCTTCTGCTTTTCTCCAGCTGCTCTGTGGGTATCTGGGAATTCCATTTCCACTCATCATTTAAAGACTATCTTGTTCTGGGCTTACAGGATGCTAGTAAAGTTAAGGGTATGTGCAGCAGTCCCAGAGATGAAGGCAGGGAGCACAGCTTTACTGCTGACACTTGTCCCTTAAGCAACACGCCCTTCATAAAGACTACTGAGTCTGGGTGCACCCTTGTACTTAATTCCCATTATAGGCAATGATGGTGGGCATGCACAGATAAGAAAACAGGTTGAGAGAGGACTATACCTGCAATACCATGATGAAGGCAACAGCAGACTCCACCATGTCCCATTATTAACCACCCTGCACTACAGACTTCCTGAACTTTTACAGGAATGAATGGGACTAAAGCAGTCATCTTACTGAGGGAATCCCTGGGTGGCAGCAGTGGTGTAGGGTTGGAGATGGGGTACTGACCATGACCTCCACCCAGTATACCCAGAGGAATGATCTTCTGAAACCCATGTAAAGATAGAAGACAAGCAGCTAGACATCAAAGTGGACAGGTTCTCATGGACCTGCTATTCAGGAGGATTAAGGTAGAGACAGGACTTTAGAAACTTCCTCTTGTCTCACACATCTGTCTTCACCATCACCTAAGCTAAGCCTCAGGCCAGGGAGCTCCTAGACCCATGTGATCTTTAGCTACAGAACTACACACACACAAAGAGCTAGCTAACTAGGTTCCACAGATAGCCAATGCCTCTTTTGTAAAGCTCTATTGTCACACATCCACATCAATTCATTTACAGGCCTACAGTTTCCATCGTGCTCAAGTAGCAAGGCTGAATTGTCATCTGTGGAAATAAATGGCCTGCAAAACCCAAAATATTCCCAACCTGATCCAACTTACAATAGTTGATTAAATATGGGACCTCCTGGGGGTACGGTGGCACATGCCTATATCCCAGCCCTCTAGAGATTGAAGCAGGGAGTTGTAAGAGCAGCCTAGGTTGGGTATAGGGTTTGATGCCAATCTGAGACCCTGCCTTAAATTTAAAGAAGAAAAGTGGACTCCTGACACCAACTGTCCCATCTGAAATCTTTTCTTCCTCTGACTCAGCTATATGGCCTGTTCACTCTGTGACTCTGTTTCCCCAGATTCTTCACTGACCTGCTACAGGATTAAATATGTTAAAATAATTCAAGGTTATACAGTACCTACTACAGAGTATTTGTCATCTTATCCTGGGAAAGCCCCAGGAACTGGCAGAGTAAAAATCTCTTAAATAGGGCCTGAAGTGATGGCTCAGCACACAACAGGCAGCTTACAACCTCCTGTAACTCCTGCTCCAGGGGATCCAACACCTTCTTCTGGCCTCCACAGGCATTCTCACACACAAGCACATGCACACAGAGATATCTAATGCCTTAGTTACAGTTTCTATTACTGTGATAAAACAGAACAATCAAAAGCAACGTGGGTAGGAAAGGGTTTATTTCATCTCATAACTCAAATCACACTTCATCACTGAAGGAAGCCAGGGCAAAAACTCATGCAGGGCAGGAACCTGAAGGCAGGAAGTAAAGCGGAGGCTATGGAGACATGCTGCCTACTGGCTTGCTTGCTCATGACTTTCCCAAGGACCACCTGCCCACAGGTGGTATGTCCCCCACCAATCACTAGTTTTAAAAAAAGCCCCACTGTAGGCTTACCTACAAACCAATCTTATTGTCTCTTGTGGATAAATCTATGGGGCTTTTTCTTAATTTTCTCAGCCATGGTTCCCTCTTTTCAGACCTGTCTAGGTTTGTGTCTTATTGATAAAAACCAAGCAGTACCTACACATTTTTAAATTTTCTCTACAAGACAATAGTGAGGACAGGGTATTGTAGAAATAAGCTATTTCCTTGCTAAATAAATGTCACTGGAACAAATTGTTCCCACCAGCATTCTCATTGTTTATGGATTTATTCACTGCAAACCTCCCTTTATGTTGGTGACACCATCAATAATTCCTTATAAATATCAGAGCATTGGGAGAAGGACTATCCAGGGATGAATGGTGGCCCCACACAGGCTAGTTACTCAGGGTGGACAGGTGTGATTAGAGCAGGAGGGAAAAGGACAACTGGGCCTGTGCAGGGTCTCCCACAGCCCCGATCCCAGGCTGAGCCTTAGCAGGACTGTCAGCAAATGTCTCACAGTCCCTTAAGTCTTAGTTTCCACTCTCAATCATGCCTCTACATTGGTCTCATCTTCTTCACCCTGAGCTGTGTCCCCCAGACCCTATCATTGCCCTGCAGGACCTGCATCTCCCAAAGTGTTCATCTCTAGCAATGAATCCCAGGGATGGGGGAACAGGTAGAAGCTCCCGAAAGGACAGCGACCTACAGCCTTCTGTGACTCAGTCTGTGAAATGTCCACGAACAATGTGGAAATAACCAGGGCTTAAATTTGCAGAAGCCAGGTGGGTTCTAAAGTCTGGATACATCCTCTGGGTAGTCTAGCTTGAGGGCAGAATGATATGAAATAAGAAGGAGCCGTTTTGGTGGAGGGAGAAGGGCCCGCTTGCAAGCCCTTTGCTTCATTCTCAGCACACCTTCCATGTGCCTGCTGCTGGGACACGAATAAAGACTGTCCAGAGGAGATGCAGGTGACAGGAGGGCTGGCCAAAAGCTCAGCCAGCCAGAAGCAGTTCCCGTACTTCGATGGAGGGGTTCTTGTGAAGGCAGGAAAGGTCCAAGAGTCAGAATTTAACAGATGAAGTTCTCACTTCACTAGAGACACCGATACCATGTTCTGGCTGTTCCTTAACAGCTCGTCCTCAGCCTAGGGAGATACTCTCCTTTCTCCGTCCACCTTAGCTCTAGGCAGGTTGGGGCTGAGCTCAAAGTCACCTGAGCACAGAGCACAGAGAAATCAGGAAAAAGGAAGAAACTGACATCCTGGAACCTGCAGGGCCCTTAAGAAATGTGGCGATGGAGACTGGGTAGTTAAGGTAGAGCTCAGTATTAAGGCATATGTTTGTCATGCTCAGTGTCCTAGGTTTAATGCCTAACACGGTTTAAAAAAAAAAAAAAAAAAAGGCAAGGAAATGTCACAGGCAGCAGGCGGAGATGCTGTGGTGACACCTTGGCTCCACTGAAAGAATCAACATCCCTATGGGAATGATGCCAACAAGGAATATAAACAGAGAACTAAGGAGAGAGCCCTGTAAGCAAGATGGCAAGGTGCTTTCAGGCGAGCAGTCTTCCTAGACAGAGTGACTGCTGCCTGCCCACTTTCACAACAGCTAGACAGCATCACCCCTTTCTCAAGGCTCTGAGACTGTACCCAGGCCGAGCCACAGTTCTCAAGCAGCAAGCCCACATCTGTCTGAGCCCCAGATGCAGCCCCCAGGTTCATCACAAGTTTGTCACTGTTTAACTCTTCTATAACCAGGCCTTCACGCTGACCCCACCAGCCCAGACTCACACAAGTGTCTCTTAGCACCTCTCTCCTGACCTCCAGACACCATCAGTAAACTATCTGATTGCTCTTGTTTGAGTCACTTAGTAACTGCACAAACAATCACAAAGGACGTGAAACAGCCCCATACTGTGGCCCCATGTGGCAGGGCAACATGACTGTTCCTCTCTCCAGGACTGCATGTATGTGTTTAACCCTTAACGTCCAGGCTCACAGAAAACTTCCTGGAGAAAGGGGTTTTTTGCCATGAGGCCTGCAAGTTGAGTAAGATTGTTCCAGACATAGACTCTTAGTAACAGCATTCAGACAAAAGATTAGGAAGGGCAAAGTTCAGGGCACTATGTGACTTGTCACATCAATCCCCTGTGCTTAGTATCCAAGCTGGCTTCACACTGATGCCCAGGAAATGCTTCAAGAATAAAATCCACAATATGTGTGTGGCTTTAGAAAGGACTTGGTCCCTATGAACTTCCATCTGCTTCTTCATGAGGTAGCTTTATCATCCTACCCTTCCAGGACCGCGCAGGATTCAATTCATCCCATCTCTCGATATCTACTGAGCACTCCAGTGCTCTTGCAGCTGTGGACTGCAGGACACAGGCCCGCGGGGGAGAAGAAAGGATTTGAGACTCCTGAATTGATCTGGAGGCAGAAATCAGCAGGAAGCATGGGGAAGGGCAGGACAGAGAGAGAGGCCAAGGACAGGGGCGCTGGGTGGCTCTCTGGTCAGGGAGGGAAGGCACAGCTCAAGCAACTCAACCTTCCTCTCAACCCTTCTTTTATTCCTTCCCTGTAACTGTCCTGCTGGGTGAACATCAATCAGTCTGCAGTTGTATCTGTGTCCTAGGCCACCAGGCCTGGCTGCATCTCAAACTGCAACCTGAATAACCAGTTATGACAAAGAAAAGACACCCCCCCCACACACCCATGTTACCTGCTCCTGGTGTCTCTCCTTTCCCTACAACTCCTCACCCTCACCAGCAAACCAGTCCTAAGTTCTGGCCACACAACACAATAGCCTGCCACAGTGAACACACTGGCGACTCTGGAGGTCCAGAAGCCCCTCAGGTGTCAGGTGGGCAGCCAGGAACTCAAACAGGAGGGACTTCAGACTGGAGAGGCCAAGGCAGTCTGCCCTGCTGCTCCCCACCCCAATCCTGAAGCCAGATGCTGCCAATCTGGCCCTCTTTACTCCTGTAAATAATACCGCCTGGTTCTCCTGTGTCCCTGAGCATCCACCAAGACTCTTTGCTCTTCCCTCTGCCAATCATGTGGCAGTTGGACATTGGAGACAGTTGAGATGAAGTCTGTTAAGATAGATTCTTGGGAGAAAGAACATTCTAGGGGGAGGGGGAGGAGAGAAATGAAATCACAACAAGCTGGAAAGACCACTTGCCCCGGGCTCCAATTTACCACCACCCAGCTCTCCCCTCTTCTAGTTAACACTGGCCTCCAGGAAGCCTTCAAAGCTGCCACTTTATTGTTAATTGCCCAGTGCCTGAGGGCAACACAGAAGTGTGGGAAGGATGACCCAGAGCCTGCTCAGGATGCACAAAAGAAGACAACTCTGGTTTAAACTCTCTTCTGAGACAAAACATACTGGAAGTGAGGACCTGAGGGGATGCAGGGGTCCCTTGTAGCTGCAGATGTGTGTCCCAGTCCCTCCTCTCACTTCACCTGCTGAGTGACCTTGGTCCTAACCATGTGAGCTGACCTTACTAATCCCTTAAAATGTTCTTTTTTCATACAGCACCTGGCTGGCATGCAGGATGCCAGGCCTGGCTACTCTACACATCAACCCAAGCCACATGTTTCTCTTCCCTGATGCTTTTACTGGTTTGACAGCCTTAAGTGCTTGGGCACTCAGACAGGAGAGGGGAAGGGATGGAGAAAGGGAGGAAGGCAGGGAGTGGGGAGGGAGTGAAGCTAAATCAAGCCTTCTAAGATGCACCTTCCTCTACTTTCTAATCTCTGCATTCACTAGGAGCCTGAGTGAAAGAGACTGGTGGGAGGCGGGGCTGCTCCCTGCTCACAAGACAGGCTGGAGGAACCCAAGCCAAAGGATTCTAAATGCCAGTTTCAGCACCCTCCCTGATCTTCAGACCCCAGAGGCCAGTTTGTAATCAGACTTTCTTCTCTCCACAGGTTAACGCTGACTCCAAGCCATTCTCCTTGGCAGGATGAGAGTGGCAGGTAGGACAGGGTTCTACAGCTTCTTGGCATGGGGGCTCTAAAATTCTCTTTTCCACCATCCATGTTCACCCAGTCCAGCCCCAGGGGTGATTCAGTATCTCTTGTCAAAGGTCCCAGCAAAAACTCCAGGAAGACAGTATACAAGAGAATGATGGTATGTCCAGCCTTTGAACATTATGACACAATATTGTTGTCTACAAAGCCCACACTGTAGAACTGTTAATAAGTTATATATACACATACATACATACATGTATACATACATACATACATACATACATACATACATACATACATACATGCTGTGTGTGTGCATGTGCATAGAAGTCAGAGGTCAGTGTCAGATGTTTTCTTCTCAATCTACTGTATTTTTTTGAGATCCACCTGTCTCTGCCTGTCTCTACCCATCTCTTCCAGTGGTGCTACGGATATGGATACATACCTCAGCCCTGGCTCTGACATGTATGCTGGCGACCTGAGCATAGATCCTCATGTCAATATTTTACCCACTGATCCATCTCTCCATTCATTAAAAGACAAAAATCTTTAAGTGTTTTTAAGTTTAGAGTTGAGTCACATTCATAGCTATCCTAGGATGCCTGTGTCCCGCAGGTCATAATTTGGACACACCTACAGGCTGGGGGAGCTGAGGAACCACTTCACAATGGCTCCATCTGCCTAGAATCCCAGGTTAGAAACATCTGCCTCTGGCCAGAAGTCAGGGACCACATAGTGGCCTCAAGGAGGACAGTTTCAGGGTCCTCGCATCACCACAGGCACCACAATAAGGCAGAGGTCTGCAGGGCACACCCTCAGACGGACCCCTTTCTACAGGCGCTGAAATGGGAGGGTGTGCAACCCTCGCACCCGACTTGTACTCCCAGGTAATTATGAGAAAGCACGGCACCTAATTTGGAGCTGGCTTATTTGCCTGGATTCCAAACCTCACTTCTACCAAGTGATCATGAGAAAGCAGCTACCTCTTCCAGCCTCAGTCTCCTCATCTGTGAAGTGATACATTGGTGAGCGCAAAGATTTAATGGGAGGATAAACTGAAGTAATCTGAGATAAAGCTGTCAGCATAATACCTGGCACAGAATGGATGCTGTCAAATGTGGACTGGTGCCTGAAAGGGATTCTGCTTCGTAAGCACAGTGCACCAGAGGACAAGGAGTATGCGCAAACCAAATGAAAGCCATCGGTTATACCTCTGATGGGCTATTGGTGCCTCCCCGGGGTATGGGATTGCTCCCCAGTGGTAGGAGCCAGAGTCACTTCTGGCTGTGAGGCAAAGGAGGCTGGAGAGCTATGCCTGCTCTGAAACTGCTCAACAAGTCCTCTGAGCTGATGAAAATTATGGAGGATATCCCCAGCTCCCCAAGTCACCAGAATACTACCTACTAATATGACTATAATACCAACAAAGTAAGCCATCCATGCACCCATCCATCCATCCACCCACTCATCCACTCTTCTACTCACTCATTATCCATCCACCTGTTTTTCTTTCATTCACCAAACACACACTAGTACATGATTTGTATACTCCAGGAAATAGAGTCAAGTAACAACTAAGTAGTATGGTGATGGTATTTGGAAAGAAACAAGATGACGTGAGAGAGTCTAAATGAGGAGGGATTGCAGGTGGAGCCCTCCAAGCCAGGGACCTCAGCAGTAAGGGTCTTTCCATATCTACTCTTTGGGACTGATTTCAGCTCAGAGAAGGTGAACTCCTACACACAGTACAGACCCCAATACATCTCTATGGGTTCTCTCTAGGAAGCTAACTGGGGCCCAAGCAGGAGCACTTTTAACTCATTCACAAAGGCTATTTTGGAAGTGTTCACAAAATCTAATGATATGATCTCACTGTCTGACCCCATCATGGTCTTCTATGTAGACTCAGAACATAGTCTCATGGTGTGGGCAAGGGCTGCACCTACAATGGAGGGTCTCCCACATTGGTGGTGTTGCTGGAATTGACAAGAACTTTGCACTGTAGCCTCCTTTTGGGGTGTGGCAGATGACCCAACAGTCTCCCTACTTGCAGGTTTGATTCGTGTAGTGGCCTTCATCTTCACCCTGGTTGCCATGTGGGTCTTTCTCCGCAACCACATCAGCTTCAGCAGGAAAACCATCCGTCTGCCACGCTGGCTGGGTAAGTGGAGCTCATGGCCCAGGACCTCTCTTCCAGGGTGACCCAGGAGCCAGCCAGATGTGCTGAGCTGTGCACTGGCATTGTGGGGCACAGTGTAAGATTCTGGGCTGTCAGGAAGGCTGAAGCCATGGGGAACACAGAAATGTCCCAGGCCCTGGCCTAGGGAAGGACAGTGGAAGGAAAGATGGAAGTGAAGAAATAATACTGTCTGAGTTGTGAGTGGCTTCTACCCGCCGTTTCCTCTGCTTCAAACCCTCTCTCTGAACAGGGCCTGCAGGCCTGCTCCACTCACCCTGCTCAAATATCACCACTTCAAAAGCTTTTCCTGACCTCCCTGGCTCCAGCTTTAGCCTATCCTCCTCACTTAGCCTCTTCCATGTCAGCCTATTTCTTTCCAAAAAATCATCATCATCATCATGCCATTTGTTTCCCTAGTTGTTGCCTTACTCTGCCTCCAAATATATAACTTTCCTGAAGACAAGGATTTCATATCTAGGACAATGCCAATAATTATTTGATGAGTGAATACTCAGGAAGCAGAGGGAGGCGGATCTCTGTGAGTTCAAGGCCAGACTAGTCTACAAGAGCTCGTTCCAGGACAGCCTCCAAAGCCATAGAGAAACCCTGCCTAGAAAACAAACAAACAAAATGGATGGATGAATGATGGATGGATGGATGAGTAGATTTGTAGGTGGGTAGATAAATTAATAAGTAGGTAAATGGATGGTTATATCATGTTGGGTAGATGGATAGATGAATGGGTAGATAGAACGATAAGGGTGGCTATGGGTTAATAATATGAGTTAGTTGATAGGTAAGTGAATGAATAGATGAGTGGGTGAGTAGATAGGTGGTGAATGAAAGGACAGGAGGGTAGGAAGACTGACAAGTGAGTGAACAGAAGAATAGAATGACAGGTGGGTAGGTGGATGGATCAGTAAGTAAGAGGATAGATGAACTGATAAATAGAATGGCAAGTAGGTGGGTGAGTTAGTGGGTAGATAGGTAAGCGAATGGATAGATGAGAGAATGGGTGAGTAAATGAATACACAAGTAGATGGACAAGTCCTTACCATTTTACCTATTCATTCTCATTTAAGATACACAAATATCCTCAGATAGTGGTCCTTGATGTGGTTGTATAGTAGACTCGTGCATAATTTGTGGCATGGTTTCATGTGTGTTCTGAGAAAATAGAAAGTCAAGGAGACTTCTAAAACTAACCCAAGTTCTCCCTTAGATGTCAGAACAGGGATGGAAACTGGATGTGTGTATTCAAAACCGTTCAAGAGAGAAGGGAAGGAATGTGTGTCCTTAGGTTTGCCTTCCTGGGAGACTAAGAACCAGTACCATTGACAGAGTTCAACATGGCTCCCAATTTCCCTTGACAAGTAAAAAACCAGGAACCCCACCTTGAGCACAACTCCATAGTGGAGGGCTTGATAGCCCTTATGTCATCTGCCTCTTGTCCGTTGAGACACAGAGCCCACATTGGGATTTCATTTATATGGACACTTGGTGGTTGCCATGTCCCTGATCCAGGGATACTGTTTCTACAGACCAGAAATGGATTCTGCTGTCTGCTGGCCTCAAGGAGATGTGAACCAGGCCTTTTGCATGAGGATCAGGGTGTTTTATACAGGACAGTCTGAATGCAGTAGGCAACTCTTGTAGAGACTTCATCCAGTAACTATTTATCTCTCAAAGCTCAGTTACCTGGGAACTGACAAGCCAATAACCTCAACCCACAAGAATCAGGGCTTAAACTCTGTGTGAGGTCACAGGGACCCCAACATAAGGAAAAGGTGGCTCCTGCTTATGGCTCCCAAAACATCAGCATTCCTCTAATCCAGTGTCTGCAGAAATGCAGGTGTGTACCCAGTGGGAAAGACAGAAAGCCAACAGCTGCCCAGACTCATGGGCCAACTTCCCCTCACTTCCTCACTTCACAGGCTCTTGCCTGGGGGGGGGCACACCCCTATTTTATGATTTCATGTGCCTATACATAACAGCACAAATTTATGCTTATCGTTGTTCTACAGAAAGATGATAATGATTAGCCTCCTTCATAATCCAATCTGGTTTATTTTATGCACTTTATAACTTGTGCTCTGCTCTAGAAGAAAGTACTAAGTATCTCCAGAGAGTGAGGACAGACTTACTCTAAGAAGCTCACAGGCTTTGCCAGGCCACCAAGGCCCACAGCACAGGGATGAGGAGGTTAAAAACTCTAGGCTTACCCAGAAGACACAGAATCAACTCTAATTAGTATTACATAGTCTCTTAAGTCTCTTTATTGAGAAGTCAGGTGATGCTGGTTCCAGGATACCACAAAGGCTGTGGGGCTCGTCTTACTGTACCTTTCGATATTGTGGCTACTGTTTTGTTTTTGTTGTTTTTGTTGTTGTTGTTGTCCAAACAGTCCCATGCAGCTCAGGTTGGCCTCAAATGGAGAATGACAGTGAACTTCTGATCCTCCTGCCTCTGCCTCCTGAGTGCTGGGATCACAAGTGGGCACCACTGTGCCTGGCTTATGGGATGCCAGAAGTTGAACTCAGGGCTTTGTACATGATGGCAGGCACTCTACCAATTGAGCCACATTCCCCAGGCCCCTAAGTGCTGCCTACCTTCAACAGGGTAGAAGCTACACCCATGATCAGCTTTTCTCTAGGATACACTGTGGCTACCAGCTGTTCAGATGCCCACATTGTAACTACAAAGGGCACTTTTTCACACACACACACACACACACACACACCATGGCCAAGGGACTATATTAACTCAGAGAAGAGCTCTGTCTCCAGAGGACAATGGTATTGTGGTTGGCTTGGCCTTGGACATTTGTTATGATAGGGCCCAGAAAAGGTACACTCTTCCCCAGACGTTTTTGTGTTCTCCTGTTCCTTAGGACCCACAGCAGTGTGGTGGGTGGACACCTGAGCTGGAAACCCCAAAACAACTAAGACAGAATGAGATAAGATGCCAGGAAATGACCAGGGTCCCTAAGGCCTAGCACAGGCTGGGACCACAGCACCAGCAGTAGCAGCATAATTCTCTCTGTCACTGAGGCCCTCTGGGTCTCACTGGATCCTTCCCCACAGCCCAGGGAGGATGGTTGTGATGCCTGCTGTGTGCTGTCAAGCAAACTGAGGCACATGGTGCTTAAATATCATACCCACCATATACACAGGGTTAAGGCTCAATCTCCCGGGTTCTCACAGCATACCACAGCTTGCTTTTAAACACGAATAATTTGTGTCTGTGCATATGTATGTGTTGTTCATGTGTGTTGAATATGCATTTATGTGCATGTATGTCTCTGTGCATGGGTGTCTCCCTGCACATATATGCATATGAGTGTATATGCAGGTGTGCCTATTTATGAATGGATGGCAGCAGCAAGTGAGAGAAAGCTCCCAGATGTAACAGGGGGGCTTAGTCTGTCAGTGGCACCACATGAAGGTCTCCTGTTCCCACTGCCCAGCCCTCAGCCCACTCTCCCTCCTGTAAAAGGCCTAAGTACCTTTTTACTAACCATATTCTTTCTCTCAAACAGGCATGCCCTCCAAGGAGATCCGTGAGTATCTCCCCAGCCCCAGCCCCTCATCTGCCCTTGGGCAGGATGTCCCAAGGGCAGGCACCAGAGAAACACAGGTGTACAGAGTCTTCCTAGCCCGCTCTGTGACATTAGTGCCTCTTGAAGCGGGGGCTGGGTGGTCACTCTCAGACATTCAGATCAGTAGGAACATGGCCTAACTCTTTTCCTTCTGCCATTCTTCCTGGGTACCCTGCCTCTTCTCTCTGTTGTGAGCCAGAATTGAAAGAGGGCTTTGTCAAGGACCGGGCTCCCAAGGAACAAAGAAGGTAGGGGGAAGGAGCATGGCTGCTACTGATGCTAACTCAGGTTGATGCAGTCTGCCCTCATGGGCATCTCATATAAAGCTAACACACCCCCTTTGAGCATCCACGTTGTTTCCTTTCTAGAGGTAGGGAAACAGGCTCAGAGAAGTGAAATCTCCTGGCTAAAGCCAAACAGTTGTAGTGATGAGTAGGGAAGTCAAACACCCCCACCCTGTTTGTCCAGAGACTATTTCTCCAACAGCTTTTTGCATAAATAAGGCTTCCCTGCCAAGGCCCTCAAATCCCAACCCAACATGGTAACTCCAAAGACAGCTGAGCTTCAGGGTTAGGATTGTATTGACTTAAGAAAGCTTGGGAGCCCAATGTACATAGCACTGTGGAGAGCAGACTACAGGAATGAACATAACCATTTTACCCTTGATCTTCACCCTCTGAAGCCTCATCAGTCTAATGCTAAACCAGACCCAGAGTTATGACATCTTACAGATATCATCTGCCAAGAGGAATAGAAAACTCAAGCATTATACTACATTTTACCCTTCCTGATCCCATAGCAGACCTCACTAGTCAATTCCCACATCCTCACTCTCCAAACACATAACCATCTTCAAGAGTTTTATCATTCAGCCTTTCACAATAGGTCCAAACTGACATTTAAGAGAAAGTCTGCCTGCCCGGGGCTGGAGTTCAATTCCCAGCAACCACATGGCAGCTCACAACCATTTATAATGAGATCTGGTGCCCTCTTCTGGCATGCAGGCATAATTGCCAGCAGAACACTGTATGCATAATAAATAAATAACTCTTTGGGGAAAGAGAGAGACAGGGACAGAGAAAACCAATTTCTTGACTTGACAATCGGCAAAGATAATTGGAGAAACTTCTAGCAAAACCACATAGCAGATCAGTGGAAGAGCTGTTCATAGTTCCTGATAACCCAACCCCAACACACACATGACAATACACAAAGCCCAGAGCAACGGCACCAGGCTTCAGATCAGCTATGGAGACAGCTGATCGGCCACAGCCTAGAAAGCAGATCCTGGCTCCCCTGAGACCTCCTCGTGGGTATCACTTCCCTCCATGCAGCAGCCTGAGAGTGGAAGCTGGTGGACAGGAAATCATTCGAGGAAAGCAGGCCTAGGTTGGCCTATTGACATGGGGCTTGCCAGAGTTAGCCACAGTTAGAGAAGCAAGTCCTGGGAACTCCAGCTGTGGTCCCTGGGGCCTAGACTCTTCCCCACCAGTGAGGGTCAGGGAGACCTTCAGCCTGCTATCTTAATTTCCATATCATCCTTCCCAGCCCAAAGCCAAGCCAAACTAAGGGGCTTCATGTTCAGCCTGTGAAGAAAGACCAAGCCCAGGCACAGAATCTACCAGGATGATTCAGACAGGCACATGAGCAAATCCTGCAGAAGCAACTTCTCTTAGGAAGCCCTCAAACTAATCTTGGGGTGGCCAGACCCTCAGCCAGAGTCCTGGAGATTTAGATGCCATTGGTGGAGGCTCTTCAGTGCCCAGAAGTGAACAAAACCCCAAGGTCCAGTGCCCTCCCCAGATGTGAGAACTCTGTGTTACCTTCCCAGGAGTCCCGAAGACCAAGTGTGGGCTCAGCAAGCCCTGCCTGAACAACTTCTTTGCATTTAAAATCAGCAGCGGGGCTGCTAACGTCGTGGGCCCCTCCATGTGCTTTGAAAATGAAATGTAAGTATCCAGGGGTGGCTGTGTTTCTTTGCTTACATTTCATTCGTTCATCCATTTGAAGTCAAGCATCAAGACAGGCCTGTGAAGAAGCCCATGCCTTTCCCAGGTTACCTTTGACTCCAAGCAATCAGCGGAAGAGCTCCTGGCTCAGCCTCCCCTTGCTAATTGCCCCCTTCCCTGCACAGGTGGCGGGGCTGTTGTTGTCCCTGCTGTAAAGGCAAAAAAAAAAAAAAAAAAAAAAAGTGAGGCTCAGACAGGATCACCTGCCAAGCTGAAGGCAGATCTGGGCTTCTGATGTAAGGGATATCCTGTGGGGGAAATCTATGTACTCATTCCCAGTTCAGTTTATCCTGCCATGGAGGACAGATGCTGAACCTACATGCAACTTGCTTAGGCAAAACAGAGTCAGTACTGGTCTGTGTAGTTGAAGCCACAGGTTTGGAACTTCAGGGTGAGCAGTATCTGGCAACTCAAACTGCATGTCAAGCCTGCTCTCACACCATCCTTGGTTCTGTTTTCTACTGTTGGCTGTTTTTCCCCCACTGAAAATGGGACTTCTCTGTGGTAAGGGAGGCTGCCACACACTCTGACAAATTAGCATCATCTTAGCATGTCACCAGGATGAGAGCCTCCAGGACTGGTCTCCTTGGGAATGGAAAAATACTATGGTCCTGGGCAAGGGGAGAATAGAATGTGGATGCTGACCTAGTGGGAACTTCTCCAGTTTCTACTTTCCTGCATCCTGGGGTGTGGAAGCACCATACTCTAACATCTAAAATCCTAGGCAAGGACTCTGCCTCTTTATCTATGCAGACCGGCCCAAATGTGCCATGGACACAGCACAAAGAACACAGCCCACCACAGGCTTCCAGAAGAAATCCTAGTGGCAAACCTTTACACAGTGTAATCAAATATCTTGCAACTCTAGTGCCCCTGGGACCCAGGGGTAAGCCTTCTCAAGATCCCCATCACAAAAGCAGAGCTTCCTTCTGCTCCTGGGAATTATTACTTTCCTTCTTTATCTGCAGCATCATGAGTCCAGTGAGAAACAACGTGGGCAGAGGCCTGAACATCGCTCTGGTGAATGGTGAGTGGCCAGTATCACACCTGAGACCCAGGAAAGGGCCTTGTAGAACTCGGGACAGGACAAGACTGGATTGGGGGAGCAGCAGATCATACAGGCCTGATCACCTAGACTCCTGTCCAAGAGTTTACTGCTCTGAACCATGGCTGCACCCTCAAGGCCACTCCAGCTTAGACAGACAAACATGAAGCCACAGTGGGCACACAGAGGCAGGGTAAGATCACACGCTGATTACATATCGATCTTCAGTCTACAAATGTGAACACAAGCTAATCCAAACCAGGCCCTGGCTTCATGATCCATGGGTGCCACAGTAAGGGAACTGAAATGCAACAGGTAGGGCACATGTAATCACAGAAGGTTCCAGGGTGCAAGCTACGGTCAGCTGCAGCTAAAAAGCAGCAGGGAGAAGATGAGACACCCTTTCCAGGCATCAGGGAAAGGAAGATGGCAGGAAGGTCCCAGACTGGGACTTCCTGTCTGGCCACTCACAAAGTATAAGAACTAATCACCTGTGACAATAAAAGCTAACACATTGGGCATATACTTTGTATGACATGAACCCAGACCTAGCCGACTCCAGCTGGCAGCCTCCTTGCACTGCAGTGTCTCTAGGCATGTGTATAGATCGGGCCTCTGCTCCTTGTAAATAATAATGAGAGCAGCAAAGCATAGTTAAACATGGCTGATCCCCAACCTCTTACTGTGCAGAGAAACAGTTTAGACTATCTACCCTAATTCTAGAAAAAAACCACAAATGAGCATGCTCCCAGAAACATAATCCCTCCCAAAGTCCCCAGGTAAAGTTGCTATGGCTCTGAGACTGGGAGGGTTTGCCAGGTGAGCCTGCCTATTTACCTGGAGATGTGCCACTTCCCTATGGTGTCGGCACTGCCATACTCTCTGCAATACTACCATCTAGTAGTGAAGATTGAGACCTGTGGTTTTTCCTCCAGATAATAGAGGGTTCTTCCCAAAAGCCATGAAAGCAATTTCAGACCCTGGAAATCTGAGGACCATTATCACTGAAAATTCCATGGCCTCCAAAAGTTGGAAGATTTGGCTTGCAGATTCCCCATTTATGTGGAAAGAGTTATAGCCATGCCCTTAATCACAATTTTGCAGAAAATATATCCAGTACTTACCGGTTTAGATATATTCCATTTCAAACCAACAGCCCATTGAATTTGTGCAAAAATTAAGAACAAAATGCTGGACCCTGTGTGAGCCACTGTCATGGCAGAACACAGATTCTGAGTGGTCATATTCTGCTAGGCTCTGGATCTTCAGCCTCTCAAATAAGCCCCAGCAGGGACAGTGTTATGTCCTTATTGTGCCCCGATGACCTTCGCAAGACTCAGGTTCATTCCGTTCTCACTCTGGTTTTCGGCTTTACATGACCCATGGACCAGAGTCAGAAAAATGGCAAGTGGGGTGACTCACATTGTGGGAAGTACTAACTCTCTCTTTTTTCTAGGAACTACAGGACAGGTGATGAGAAAGGGCAGCTTTGACATGTACTCTGGAGGTAGGCACCTCTTTTGGCACTGATGTTGTGGGGGTGAGCCCCTTACTGTGGATGCAAGGATGCGAATGTCGATGGTTGCTCTGTTTTAGACCCCTTCCTGGGGTCTGAGTTAGACTCAGGCACAGATTCTAATAAGAGGGTTTGAGTATAACAGTTTATTTAGAAGCTGGTTTTAAGAAATGCCCAAGGTGGGTCAAGGAGTAAGAAAGGAGAATAATGAAGCCAACCTCTGGAATTAGAAAGCTTTGCACACCATCTCAGGCAGCCCAAGAGGTGTGCTTGAAGCACTGGTTGGCATTGGTACCACACATCTGTGCACCAGTGTTGTGCTGAGGATGAGGGCGTATGGCCCTAGTACCTGCTCAAGCCCTGTTAGGGCAAGTGCTTTATAAAAGCTAAGGCTGCAGAGATCTCTGGTGGGCATATGGCATAACCTCCTAAGGTACGGACAGGGCCTCTGAGAGGTGACCTCTCCGCCATCTCTCTACAGATGTTGATCATCCTTGTCACAAGACCCCAGAGAGCTGTTTTGAGATAGCCTCATATAGCCCAAGCTGACTTCAAACTCATTATGTAACCAAGAATGAACAACAGCCTAGACTGTAGTAATTCAGAAGAAGCCATGAGGTCCTTCTGCCTCTATCTCCCAAGTGGTGGGACTACAGGAGTGTACCCTCACACTAGGTCTAAATGGTGCTTTTAAGCGAGTGTTACGGCTCTGGAGGGAAAGGTATCCTGACCTGTTGAGAAGCCAGGCTATACCTAGAGCCACAATAGGACAACAGCTCAGCCCTGAAGGGAAAGGTATCCTGACCTGACAGGGAGTCAAGCCATTCCTGAAGCTGGGATGTGATGGAGGATGGCCTCCCCACAGGATATAGCAATCCTGTTCCTCTCCTAAAGGTAGCCATTACAGCTGAGCTCTGCTCTGTTCCCCTTAAGAGGGCTTCCCAGCAGATATTCACTTCTGCTGCACTCTGCTGAAAGGGAAGCTGCTGCAGAAATGTAGCAATCCCCTCCAGCTCTGGTGAAAGGTTGTTAGGCTATTGTCTTGCTCAGCCCCTCTAAGGGAGCATCTCAGCCAGGGTCTTCTATTCTCCTAAGGGAACTTCTCAGCATTCTACACCGGCAAATGAAGATCTTCTCCCAAGACTCTTTTGAGAGAGAGAGAGTTATTTAGGAAGGGGGAGTCCAGGGGAGTGCCTGCCTCCGCCAGGGTGGGAAAGCACAGCCCACAACTAAACAGGCAGAGGGCTTATTTAGGGCTTCTTAGGGCCAGGTTTTCCCAGGGAGATTTTTCTGCTCAGGAATTGGTTGGTTTAACTGGTCTGGGACAAACTGTTTCTTTCACTAGGCTTTTGGCTCTAGTTTGGGGGTCAGGGCCTATTTCTTTCACTGGCTCTGGTTCCAGGGCCAAAGTGTGTTTCTCTGTCTGTGGTTTCAGAGTCGGTATATTTCGTAGGTTCTGGGTTCAGAGCTAAAAGTGTTTCTTTCACCGGTTTGAGTTTCAGATCCAGGGCGTGTTTCTTTCTCTGGCTCTGGGTTCAGGTCAGGGTGCTAGATTTTGTGCTCAGTGATTAGTTGGTTTCTTTGGATGGCCCTTTCTCCTTAAAGTGATGGGGAACAAACTCAGGACTCTGTGCATGCCAGGTAAGTGCTCTATCAACTAAGCCACATCCTAGCCCAGGTACCTTCAAAGTGACAGTCCCTAGTCACCACTTCAAGTCACATGAATGAAGTCCCCTTATTACCTTCTCACATTTCCCTGTAGGATAAGTGCTGCAGGAAGCTCTGTCCCCATCACACTGCCTCTGTCTGGCTTCTGAGCTCCTCATTAGCCTGGTCCAGGTGCTCTCTGGGTCATTAGGTAGAAAAGAGTCAAGGTCCCAGCAGCATTTCTCCTAAAGACCAGTGCCTTTCTTTTCTTCCTCTCCCAGAACCCAAGCTCCTGATGAACTTCCTTGAAGACATACCTGATAGCGCGCTGGTGCTGGTGGCCTCCTATGATGACCCAGGCACCAAGTAAGTGGGAAATGCCACCTGTTAGGCCGCATGGTGATGTAATCAAATACTTCACGCCTGCATGCACTTCCCATTCTCCTGAAATGCCTACCCTCCAGCTAATTATCCTGAGAAAAGAATCAGGGAAATCTGGGAAATGATGTTCTGGATGGCACGCCTTGATCTTCATTACAATGATGGCAAAGTCCATTCAGTAGCCACTGGCTGGTTACAGAAATTATAGCAGGATGACATATATCATTGTTGTGCATGTAAGAAGACACACACAAATGATGGTGTGGAAAAATATTAAGGACTTGCAAGAACGCTCACTATCTTCGTGTTCTACTGCTGTGAAGAGACACCATGGCCAAAGCAACTTTTACAATAGAAAGCATTTCATTGGGGCTGGCTTAAAGTTTCGGAGGTTTAGTCCATTATCCTGGCAGGGAGCATGGCAGCAGACAAGCAGGACTGATACTGGAGAAGTAGCAGACAGCTCCATCCTGGTCTGCAGGTAGAGAATGAGACTGAGCCTGGCATAGGCTTTTGGAACCCATCCCCAGTGACACACTTTCTCCAATAAGGCCACACTTCCTAACCTGTATAATCATTTCAAACAGTTCCACTCCTTGATGAGGAAGCATTCAACTATATGAGCCTACCAGAGGCATTCTTATTCAAACCACAGCATTCACCGGCTAGGACTGAGTGAACAAAATAAATACATGTGTTCATCAGACTGATGACATGGCTCAATGCTATTGAGCTTGCTGAGTAAGAGTGGAGAGTTGAGTTCAAATTACCAGAACCTACATCAGTGATAGGTAGACATAGTAGCCAGCCTATCATTCTAACCTCTGAAAGCCAAGACAAAAGATTATCAAAGCAATCACACTAGCCAAGCCAACTGTATCAGTGAGCTCTGTATTTGACTGAGAAGATCTGACTAAAAAGAATAAATTAGAAGAGTGATGAGAAATAGTTTTGACATCAGCCTTGGACCACCACACATACACATATGCATATACATATGCACATGCCCACACACATGCAATCATACATGTACATGAATGTACAACATAGGAGAAGAAGAGAAGAATCCACGAGTGCTTCCTAGTTTGTTATGACTAACTACACTCACTGTGTGGCCCCTTTTAAATCAAATTGTGTAGTGAATGCCATGCCAGCTTAGCTTGTGTGAACACACTCTTGTACACACACTGAATAGCCTAACAACACATCTGGGTGGACACACTCTTGGTGTTCACCCACTGAATCACGCAACAGCACATCTGTGTGAACACCTGCAGTACATCTCTTAGAACGATGGCCATGTTAAAATGATTACGATGGTTTCCACAGGGGAGAAGAGCAAGCCCCTCCTTTCAGTTAATTCTTCACGATGCCCTGTGTTTCCCATGTGAACATGTGTAGCACCTGCAAATAGAGCAGTACTGTCCAAACCCCTCCCCAGCCCCACCCAAAGCTCTCTTAGGAAGCCTCAGGCCCCGAGCCCAATCCTGTTAACGTTGGAAGCCTTAGAAGGCAGATGCTATGTGTGCAGCTGGAGAGTCAGGGAGGTCATTGGGAACCTCACCCCCCATCAATGTCCTTTATCCTTGTCCAAACCGTTCTTTCTGGTCCTCTGCAGAATGAATGACAATATCAGGACGATCTTCACCAACCTGGGGAGTTCCTACGCAAAGCAGCTGGGCTTCCGGGACAGCTGGGTCTTCTTAGGTGCCAAAGACCTTAAGAATAAAAGCCCCTTTGAACAGGTAGGTTCCTGGCTGCCTCCCTGTCGGAGGCAGATGGACAAGGAACTGTAGGGTGGGAGGAGGTGGGGGAGGAGGAGACAATCACTCCCATAGGCTATGTTGTTGGTCAGAGACCCCGCACAGAAGCAGCAGGGAGGACCATCATGGCAGAGCAAAACAGCTCATCTCACAGAGGCCAGGGGCAGAAAGCAAATGCCTAGGCCGGCGACTGTCTCCTTTTTCCCTTTATTCGGGCCCCAGACTGTGGATGAGATGACTTGGGTTAATAACTACCCCTTTCATTAATCATCTCTGGAAACACTAGCACAGATATATCCTAGCCACTTCTCAGTCCAGCCAATGGGCAATCAAATTAACCATCACCTGCATTTAGAAATCAGGCCGAGTTCAAGATAGCCTAACCTAGGAGAAGAAAGGAGAGAACACCCTTGGCCTCTGAGTGAGAGAGAATGCAGGGCCTGGGCTGGGCTCTAGCCCACACAGGAGAGTCAGGACACTGGGCAGAGCTAAGTGGCGCTGGCCAGGCACATACTGTTTCTTCCTTCCTGCTGAGAAGGATCCAGGTCCATCAAGAGCAGATGGCCATTCAGCAAAGCCCCAAAGATGTCCTGTGTTCCCACACTGGTAACACATTAGAGAAATCACATGAAGAATTTCCCAACTGGGGAAAACACACAAAGTGACATTTCCTATCCATGCCTCAGTTTACAGCACAGTGCACGCATTTTCAGGGCTGTTGTGCAGATTACATACACAAGGCAGCTTGGGATAGTGCCAGGCATGCAGCTGATGCTCAATAATTGCTAGCATTCTTCTTTTCCATGCTTTTATTATTGTGGTTTGGGGCTTTAAGTGGGGCTAATGGAGGTTGTGGAAAAGGGTGACGGCTCTCCAAGCTCTCCCAGTCATTGGTGCCCCCATGGGCTCCAATCCCCTTTATGAGACCTCGAGCACGTTGTGGTTCTTCTCTGAGCTTCTTGCCCCATCTTTAAAGGGAAGCTGTGGCAGAGGTAAGAGAGGTCACCCAGTGTTTAGGGTCACTGCAAATACTTTTGCATGAGTCCTAGACAGCCTTGCCCATTGTCTGAAACATCTGTCTTCTCTCCCTAGTTCTTAAAGAACAACCCAGAAACCAACAAATATGAAGGTTGGCCGGAGTTACTAGAGCTGGAGGGTTGTGTGCCACGGAAGGTATTTTAGGGTGGCCATGGCCCTTCTGGTCCAGGGAGTCAACGGAATACACAACGGACTTGAGAGCAGAGCCTGTGATTGCTGGGTCTGTGCTGATAGGAGGTGACAAGGAAGAAGAATGTGAGAAACCACATGAGATGCACTGACCACGCCCTACACAATGTGCACTTCCTCTCTGAAGAAGCAGCAGCCTCCCATCACCCCACCATGACCAGCTTAAGATGGCTGCTGCACAGAGCCTTCTGAATCAGCTGTGGTGGAGACAAGTGGAACCTTCCAAGACTGTCATGGTTGTTTCCAGAAGGACTGGCTGCCTATACTTGAGCAGGATTAAATCCTATTTTTTGCTGATTTTGAACTTTCCAACCTCTCAAATTGTTCTGGTTCTCCCTGGGATTGTACTTGTCTAATCTTAGGTAGCATGGGTCTTGGGTCTGGACAGATAGGGGCAGCTCATTTGGCAGGTGGAATGGAGCCTGGTTTCCTGCGACTTCACAAAATCCCAGGGACAAAAGAACCTGGTTCTCCAAATGGACAGGATCAGGGAAGCCTAGGGGACAGGGCACACAGACCATCATCTTGGCATCCTCTTTTAAGACAAGCCAGAGGTAACTCAAAGCTGGAGAAAACGAGGAAGAGGGAAGATACAAAGGCAGGGAAAGTATCTACAGTACTGAACCGGTATCTAACATCTGCCTGGCTTAGAATTCCCCAGAGGCAGAATCTGAAACAAGCTTTGGAAGGCAGTCATTGTGTCTGGGAAAGGGGGCAGCCAATAAGGGGTATTTTAAGGGGACCCCTGCACAGCGGTGGCCCCCTCCCAGACCCTGGATTAGGCACAAACCATGCCCAAACAGCTGTTTTCCCAAAAAGAACCTTTATTAAGCAGAGAAGAAAAAGTTAAAGTGGCTGCTTTCTGACGCGGGCAGAAAACAGCAGCAAATAACCTTGCAGGTGTCTTTCTTTTTTATTATTATTTTTTTAATTTTTTATTTTACATGTCGATCCCAGTTCCCTCTGCCTCCCTCCCTCTTACCCTCTCTGCCCCCTCACATGCACCCTGACCACCCTCTCCTCCCATATTCCATATGTAGGGCAATGCCATCCAGGTGGGGTCATGTAGGTCTGACAGGTCATGTGAAGTAGGGACTAGGACTTCTCTCCTGTCTCTACGTTAAGGCAGTTATCCCTCCATGGGGGATGTGTCCTCAAGGCCCATTTGTGCACCAGGAATACATCCTGGTTCCACTGTCTGAGATCCCTTAGACTGTTCAGTCCTTCTGGCTGAGACCCATATTCAGGGGGTTCTGGGTCAGTCCCATGCTGGCTTCCCAGCTATCAGTCTGGGGGCCCGTCAGCTCCTCCTTGTTCAAGTTAGCTGCCTCTATGTGTTTCTGCAGGTGCCTTTCTTAAGAAGAGAAAGGGAGGTCTGTGTTAGCGTGGGCTAGGGTGTGGTGGTGAAGGAGAGAGGGGATGAAGGAGGAGGGGAGGGGAGGGAAGGGAGCAGGGATATTTGTTCTGGAGTGGGACAAAGCATTGCCTGTGGATAGGGAGGAGGCAGATCCATAGGCAAATGGCAGTTTATAAATATAAAGGGGGAAATCCCATGTTAGGATGAGGTGTTTAATTTTAATTGGGCATGTTAATTAGGTGAGCCAAAGGGGACTTTTGATTGCTGGACTTTAGTAGTTAGCCTTAGGAGGAGGAAATGTCCAAATACGGGACTAGACCTTGGTGGCTAGGTTTAAGAATGTCATCTTAACCTAGGCAGAGGGAATGAGAGAGAAAGGCAGGGCCTGCCAGAGCCACATGTTCTAGTCACTGTTGTCAACCCAGCTACTGTAGAATAGAGTAAGATCTCACCAGGAACTTTGGGACTTGTGTAACAGTTATCTAAATTGTTCCAGTATAATAAAAACTCAAGTATCAGACATTGAGATAAAGACCTGATAAATGCAAGGACAGAGGAGAGCCAGTTGGCTGACCCTTTCTCCACGTTTTCCCCCAAACCATCAGCCCTGGAACCCCCTTCTCTCTTCCTGTCCTCTCTAGCAGACCTCCTCAGGCTTCCAAGAACTCTATAGCTAATCTGCTCAGCCAATCATTGACTCTGTCCTTTGATTCATGGTGGCTTTATTGGCACAGTAGAATGGCTGACTCTGTAGAACACACACCTCAGAGATGGCATCCTTCAGATCTGGAGACGTGGGCTGTTTATACACCAACACCAGCCAACTACTTGGTGAGGGAAGGCTTCTGCTGTTGGTGTACTGTGCATCCCTAGGCACTTCTTGTCCACCCCATGTAGGGAAAAGAGGCCATCTACGTCTTCACAGTGAGTCATCGGGCAAAAGATGTCAATGCCAGCTGCCAGTAGACCAGTAGGTGCAATGAGAGGAGAAAGAATCATAAGACATGCCCAGGATCTCTGAGAAGGGTCCAGTTCCCAAGCTCTAGACCAAATCCTAGTAGGGGCTCATAGAAGTGGAGGACTTCAAACTTTACTGAGTGGAAGCCCCAGTCTCAAGTGTCAAGTGTCTAAGCCCTGAGCAGAGGGAGGACTTGACATATGTCACAGGCCTGGTGGACAGAAGCTAGACTTTGGGAAGCCTGGGCCAGGGGCTTTGGTGGCTCCAGTGTGATAGCTTTGTGCAAGCTGAGTGGAGGAAATAAGATGTCACTCAGACAGCCCAGTAAGCCTCTCCAACCCAGACTAACCTAGAATGTCTTCAGGAGCAAAGACGGCTTCATACAAACACCTGTACCCACAGGAATACAATGCTTCAGAAACCCACCATGGGAATTAACATTGGCAGACAGTTTCATAAATACCCCTCCATTCCCAAAAATGTTTATTTTCAGTGAGCAAAGATACATTATAAGATTTTAAAGGACTCAATAAAGACTTCTAAAGACAGGACTAGGCAGACAGCTCTGGGCTGTGGTCACTATTTTAAAATTACACCATTGGGGTGTAAATGATGAGTGCACACACTGAACAGTGTACTTGATGAGACTGGGAACAATCAACAGCTCAGAACTGAGCAAAGAGGCTCCCATTGATGGAGGGGCTTGGAGATTCAGCGAGAGAGGGGAAACAGCAATACCACACCCAGGTCCCCGCCCCTAGGATGGCTTCTAATGCTACATTATTTTTCTCATCGCTGTGACAAAGCATATTCCAGAAGCAGCTTAAGGCAGGAAATGCCTTTGCTCACAGTCTGAAGGCTCAGTCATGGAGGCAGGTGCACAGACAGCTGGTCCCACGGCACCGCAGCCGGGAAGAAAAGGCAGTAAATGCCTGCACTCTGCTTGCCTCCTCAGTTTTATTCAGTGTGGGGCCCCTAACTCATGCAACAGTGCTGCCCATGCTGGGGTAGGTCTCCCTGTCTGTTACCTCAGGGATGTCCCTCACAGACATTCCAAAGGGCTGTCTCCCAGATGAGTCTAGACCCTCCCAAACTGATGAGAAGCACCATCCCAAATGGTAAGCTTGGCCTGTTCCTTGGGGAAAGGCCTTCCCAAAGGCCTGGGTTTACCCCAGCCTCCGAGAGGGCCCTTAGCTGGTCACTGGTGGAAACAGAAAGCCAGCTCACTGTCTTACCTGAGCCCATGGGTTCCATCGGAAGCCGGAACTTAGCCTGGAGTATCCTATCCCTCCTCTCCCTTAGCGGTGTTCCCTAGATGCCAGCCCTTAGTGAATCATCTGCAGGATGTGCCTGAGGTCCCTGGGTGTGTTAGCCAGATGGGACTTCATTTGCACCTGGGCTAAGAGATGAGAGTGCCATCCTGTAGCCATAGCTGCGGAGTCATTTCTCCAAAAGGTCACTGTCAGTGAGGAGCTGCAGGCAAGAGCCGCCCGCACCTGGTGCTGCCATGTGACTTCTGCTGTGGAAAAGGCCACATGCTGTCCCATGCTGGGTCCTACCAGGCAGATGGCATGCTCATGGCCCACCACTGCCCCCTGCTTGGCAAGATATGCCCCTACTGACATATCTGCAGATGCAGTATGGGAAAAGAGCTCAAGCTTCTATCACCTGAATCTCTGCAGCCCCAGGAGACTTACGCTGGGGGCAGCCACACAGCCTAGCAGGGGTGACCAACACTGTGAGAGTCAGCCTCCTTTTCACGGCACTGCAGCCATATCAAGGATGACTGGTGCAGCTCGGGATGAAGACAGAAAAGACTTGAGTCCAAGAATGTAACTGTTTGGACTCAGCTTCCACATTCCTCAGTCATTAGCCATCTGCTGGGCTTCTGGAAGCATAAAGGGACATGGGACCACTGCTCCATGGAGTGGGGCCACACACACATAAGAAGGCCGTGTGACTGCATCAGGCTTATGAATGAGAAGGACCCAAGACACTTGCCCAGTCTTGGGGCAGGGAAGGCATTGAGAGAAGGTAGCATCCACAGGAGCCCTCCCTAGGAGTCCACCAGGCAGCAAACGGAACACAGGTGAGTTACTGGATGGGCAGACCTATGAGCAAGGCCTGGGCAGGCTGGGGTGGGGAATGACTGAATGGGTGGGCAGAGCACAAAGAGTTTTCTGTGCCAGACAGAGAGCTTGGATCTGGGACAGTGGTGACATGTATGTTTAAACTAGACGTGGAATGATTATGTCTACAGTTTTTTTTTAACTCCTCAGTATTAGGTAGAGATAAGGAGGCCACAAATGGGCTTCTGTGTCATCAAGAGGCAGAAGAAGATGGGCTCAATCAGGAGGAGACATGTAGATTGTCTGTTCAGAAGATAAAATGGATGAGACTTGAGGTTGACTTGCTCATTGCTGTAAACAAATGTCCAAGTATCTCTTCAGGCTAATGGTGGCCTTGAGGCTGAATCTGCTTCCCGGCTCCCTGCCAATGAGCCTGTTGCATACCCCAAGAGTGAAGCTTAGGCCGGGTGCTCATTGCAGCATGCATCTGCTCCCTCCATGTTCTCTTAGAAGCTGAAATTCTGATTCTCACCAGCAGATGGCAGCATAGGAATCTGGGTCTCACCAATAGGCACCCTTGTTGACATCATGATGACAGCAAGGCCTCACTCCTGGAGAACTGCAGACTCCGAGGAGCCAGCCTCACACCATTACCTGCCTCACTTCATCCTCAGAGCATCATGGGATGGGAACAACAGTACTACCTTTCACACATGTTAAGACTGTCAGACCCACACAGGCGAAGTGCCTGGAATA